TATATTTTGCTAAAATGAACGAAATGACTCGAAAAAAGATTCGTTCATTTTGCTGAACGAGACTCAAAGGTCTGAGTCGGTAAAATTATCCAAACTTCCCATCACTACCCCCCACCACCATACCCTATGGTTTTGTGAAACGCCGCCACTGATCAGACACCTGCTGCTTTTCATAAAGCATGTTCAGTGTTATGTTACTGTGTTTAATATATAACAAAAATATGAATCAGGGGTGATTCTCTTATTATGATAATGTGACCAAGAGCAAATCCAAGAACTTCTAACTTCATATTTTATTGCAGTGACAACAGCATAGCTGTAAAATTGCAGTAGATCGTGTTGAATTTAGAAAAAAAAAGTTTATTTACATAAGAGAAACTGTTTATCATTGTTGTGTAAATGTAAATGTGTGTCATTATTTATTTTACGGTATTTAAAATCACCTTTCTGACTTCACTGGATCATTTTAAATGGACCTTCTGTGTGACAAATTCATTTTTAAGCTTTAATTTTAATTCATTTTTAAGTTAGTTTTTTATTAAAGCTCTTAAAGGGGTCCTATTATGCTTTTTCACTTTTTTAATTTTAGTCAGTGTGTAGTGTGTATGTTTGGGCATAAAAAAGATCTAGAAAGTTACAAATCTCAAAGTCCACTCCAAAGGGAGATATTTCGTTTTTAAAAAATCCCTTTTCAAGAACTACAAGGAACGGCTCGTTTGGACTAAACCGTTTGTTTTCCGGGCTTTGTGATATCACAAAGTGGCCCATTAGAATATCATTAAAAATAATTCCCGCCTACAGAAATTTGAATGGTTGGGGGGTGGGGAGGGGCGAGGTTGTGGTTAGAACGCTTGGTTGAGTGAGCGCATCAGACGAGACGACGAAGAAGTGCTGCTGCAGAGTTAGTGCATCAGAGAAAATGAATTAGAAGAGCTGCTGTGCTGTAGCTTCAAATTTTCGGCATGTCTAGAACAATTCTTACAAGTATAACACGACGTAGCTGGGCGCCGCGGACAGATGCCGAACGGCGCCGCCGGTGTGCCTACACTCATAGAAAATAATGTATTTGAATTTTAAAGACATGGCGCGATGCGACGCTGCACTTCATTTTCATCCAAAATATCTTAAATTGTGTTCCGAAGACGAACAAAGCTTTTACGGGTTTGGAACGACATGGGGGTAAGTGATCAATGACAAAATTTTCATTTTGGGGTGGAGTATCCCTTTAAGAGTAAGACTGCTGAAGCCGTCCAACCCATCAAAAATATTTTTAAACTGGACAAGAATTTACATACCAGCTGCACAAGAACCTTTTATAAAAGAGATATGGTTTATCCTATTTTTTAAAAAGACAAAAAAAAACTAAAATAAAAATTCAGCCAACTTCCTCCTTCAACCAGAGTTGCCAAGTCCGCGTATTATACGCGACTTTGGGCTTCTTTTTTTGTAAAGTTGCGTGAAAAAATCCCGGGTTGCGGTTTTTTGGGCTTATTTTTAAAAATATGGTTGCGTGTTAGGAAAACCTGACAAGCAACTTCGTTTCTTTTCATTTAGGTTCACTGTATTCACCAATGCATTGATTGACACTCTGTCTGCTCACAGTTAATAGCCAATCAGTGCAAAAATATAAGTGCTGTAGCATAATTTGTCAAATATTCCGCCCTCTCCGCACACGCCTTCTTTTTGAACTTAATTTTTCTTTAATGAGGGATTGAAGAAAAATCACTTTCAAAAAGAAGGCGCATAATTGATAATAAATAATATTGATGATAATAAATTATCAAAAAATATTGGGCTTGTTTTGGCCTTGTTTTTGAAGCTGCGGTTGCTTATTTGTCTCACGAGAATTGGCAACAGTGCCTTCAACAACCAACAATTCTGTTCATGCATGCCATTCAGGTAACCAATGCAACTTTGCCATAAACAAGATAAAGATTTCCCAATATTTGTAATCTGGTTCCTTCCACAAATAAAAGGCGTGTGGATGATGTGTCAATAAAAGAAATCAAAACATATTTAAAAAAAGCTTTGCATGCTTTGTCTTGAATGAGCAGACAACAATTCAAGGTAAGATTAAAACAGGGCCTTCTTTAACAGGCATGTTTAGACACTTCTAATGGGGAATCATAACTGACAAGTCTCACAAAACAGGCATTACCTTCATTCCCAAGTCAACCTTTGACTTCACACTTCTTGTATCAGTCAGAAAATCTAATATTTTTAATAGAACAATATAATAAAAGAAGTTAAATTTATAACACAAATTTAAATATGCAAACTTAAAGGCGCACACACACAGTAGGTTTTTGTTTACGTTTATCTCTTATATGTCCCAATATTACCAGAGGTTTTAGACTTTACTGACACCTATCGGCCTGAATGCAGTCTGTTGACTGCTGCCGTTTAACACCGAAGCTTTTAGCTTCGCTCCTTTTCGTTCGTGATACGCTACACACCTCCATATCATGCACATATTAGTGCTATCATAATCCAAAATTGTTTTATGTGTGTTGTTGAGGGTCGGCTGATTGCATGACATGCCGGTGCCCATGAGAGGGCGACCCGCTCCATGTAGAGAAAATCAGGTTATTAATGACTATAAATCACGGTTTAATTCTTTATTTGTAAAACTTTTTAATAAGCAAAAAATACTGAGTGCACTTTTAAACTATAAATTTGTGTGTTTTCGAGAATGACAAGATACCTTGATTACGTAGAACGCAAAATGACGCAAAGTGTTATAAATATTGGCTGTGCCCAAGTAAACTGCACAAATAAAAACATAGGGTCATCCCTAGACATTTTTGACACTGTCGTGATTGGATTGGACTGGGCAGATGAACGTTAAAATGCCATCGACAGCTGCCAACTTGAACCTGAAGTTGCTGCGCAATGAATAACCACTTTCCCATTAGCAAGCTGCTGCTTTGCTTTTTAAACTGACTTGCAGCAATGAAGTGTTTATGTTTGGCTATGTGGCAGCGAATAGTTTATAGGTCAATCAAGTGAGCTAAACCCTCCAGCTTGTCCAGTTTCATTCATTCAGTTGGCACATGCGTTAGCAAACAGAGGAAAGCATGCCCTTTAGCCGCATACTGCACGACTTCGAAAACAAACTCTATCTCTGTTTCATAAATGTTTACTGCAGAAGCCACGGCTGTCTGTTCGTTGAAAATAAATGCACTTATGATCAAGTTTAGACATCATGCAGCTAATGTTTAGTAGGGCAGCAACTTGTGCACATCATACATGCAATATAACAGATTACGACAGCAGTCTCAAAAACCGTGCATCATCTGATCTGATGAACGCATTACATGCGAGAATGCAGTCTTACCTTCTTATTCTTGACTCACAGCAGTTGCGTTCTGGTGTCCAATCCTGTTCCTTAAGGAACGTGAAGACGTAAAGACCTCGATGCGTAAATTCAGTGAATATCAATTGTACGTCGCAAGCGTGGATACGTAGTGAAGTAACTAAATGTCCTGTTAGACGTTGAACTGTGCGCAGTAGTGTGTGTTCAGATCGTCGAAGTTGGCTTGTCCTGCCCCAAATCACTTTACTCTCTTTATTATTTGGCCCGTTGCAACATTTTTCTTGAATCAATAATCCACCCATCTGTATGCTGCTAAACTATTGGCGATTGGTGAATGCTCTGAGACAGGCGTCCCCGCCCACGTCTCACTTGTCATTGAAGTGATTGGTTGGCAGTAAATTATTCGTTCTGCGTCACGTCAATCAGCAACAGCTCTGTACAGGAACCGCTACTGGACATTTGGGGAAACCATACAGTACTTGGGTGTTGTAGTTTCACGGCGGGACAAGACTACAAACGGATAATGGACTTCAGAAGTTCAGAAAATATCTTTTTTTTTCAACGGTTTTGTTTGTAATATGTGCAGACCTTATACATTATGTAATGTGTTTTTTAGGTGATATGCTGTGGGCACTGTGGTTCTTAATTGGACTAAAAATGCAATTCAAAATTATAAAACAGCCTAATATTGCCTTGTGCAAACAAATGACAATAAACCCAATAGATATACATTAAATGCACTTTTCTGTCTCTCTTACACTATTTTTTAATATAAGCCCATGCAGGTTTACAGTTATATAGGCAAAAGTGTTATGAACAAAAAGAGGTCATTTAGAAACAGAGGTCCAAGACGTTTATTTAGCAAGAAAACCAGAGTTATGCAATGAAATGCATAACCTTTCATTTTTTACTACCTTATGGGCAGAAGAAGAGAGAGGAAAAAAGAACCAGACAGTAAACTCAGATCTCAGAACGAAAAAAAAACCAGCATATAAAGATCATAAAAAAAGAAAACACAAGTAGAATAAATTAAGAACTGGGGCAGAAGATGCAATACTACCACCATAATGTATGTGATTCTACCATTAAGCGCTGTTTTGTTTAACCTTGGTCTATACAGTTACAAAAAATGGATTTCATTCAAAGCGCCTGCAGTCGCAGGTTTCATGGCAGCAGTTGCTGCACCAACAGGGCGGACAGTCTAACTGGATGACAAGCATTTCGCACCATCTCAATTGCCACTGTGCATGGACCACAACTACAGGACCATGGAAGAGGAGAACATGCTGTTGTTTCTATGAGAAAAGATCCTAAAAAGATCATAAAATGCAGGTGTTTTTGATGTATACAAATACATTGAACAGCCTGCAGGAAGATCCAACACACAGCTTAAATGTAATATTTTTCCCCAGACAGAAACGGTCCACTGACTAGGACATCGAGTGCAGCATCAAAATGTAAGACTGAAGATTAAGGTGAAAACTATTCTACATCTTCAGTACAAACTCCACACTAATAGAGCTCATACCAAGCATTAAACCTCTCTACAACAGTCTAGAACAAATAGGTGGCATTTGCTTTGCGGTAGTGAAATTAGTGAGGGAAAGAAGGTCAAAGCCTTTCCACCATGTTTCTCTCATATAATACAAAAAGGGCCAAACAAGCAAACTAACTGAAATAATTGGTCCCCAATTAACCATTTCCGGATTATTCTACGCAGGTTTGTCTAATTTTCTTTTTTTATCTTACACGTTAGTTATGCAGTCTCTAAAGAACAAGCCCTATACCAAAACGTAAACTGTACTTCGTGGCTCCACTTTAAATCCAACTACAAGCACTCACTCAGACACACAGATCTATACTTACAAAAACAATCACACTATGACATGGAAGTTTGAGCCATTTTGTTATATAAAGCCCCTGATTAACCATGAATGGTTATTCACCACACAGTTCTAAGACCACTGAGCAGAGGTTGCATGAGAAACATGCAGTTAAAGGAGAACTAGCAAGTTAGAAAAAGAGGCAAGCTGGGAAACCGTCTTTGTCAAATAAGGAGAAGGCCTCCTTGAATTCTGAAAAAAAAAGAAATAATGTGTTCATTTATTGCACATCATCGAATTGCTGGTTTAAGATAAAGGTTTGAAGCAAAGGTTAATCTTGCATACCAGCAATCTGCTCCTCTGTTAGCTGATCAGCCTATAGGAAGGACACAAAAAGAAAAGAGTAATTATTTTAATAGCACTGGCATATTTTCAAATGTTTCAAATCAGTCTGAAGCTCAGTTGTATTTATTGCGTGTTAAACTGAACGGAACGTGTTTAACACCTGATACCTTGTGTTTTACAAGTTTGATGATGTCATTCATGACTACAACGCCTAGCTCTGGCGTTGTGAATTAGACAATTACAAAACGCTTTAAAAGGCAGACTATCCTGCTGTATTTGAACACATTAACATGCGTGTTGTTTTATTGGTCCATAATGTGGTTTACTTAAAGACCAGCTGAATGGAATAGTGCGCATGCTGTGGGGAACTACAAGCATATTGTGACCGATCAGATATATTAGAAAAAAACAGGGCTATTTTGTCACAAGGGACGACACGGGTTTTGTCTAATGTAAATGAGGGCGATCTCTAACTTTAACTTACATCTATCATCGATGCTTTTCAAGCTGCTGTCTGCTGACGCCAACATGAGGCGAGCTAGCAACAGGGAATCAGTCAAGGATGTGCTAGTATAGCGCATTTTATGCTGTAAACATCTCACGCCCATTTGCGATTAGAGCATGCGCTGCAAAAAGCCACACAGAAAGCGATAAAGCTGTTTATTCTACAATGTGAAAACTGTGTGTAACCCGTTTATGTGACGTTAGGCCGGGAGCTCGCGCGCTTTCAATAGAATGACGGTTAGCTCGCGAGGAGCTAGGCTAATAGTAACGTTAGCCCATTCACACCTATCACTTCGCCATGGACGCTCAGCCATTTTTGTAGCTACGCTGCACTTTAGCTATTAGGATAAAGAGTTATAAAGTAACTTACCATTGTATTTTAGTGTGAACTACGTTAGTCTGTACGTACAGGAAATAAACGGAAACCCAAGCGTTTGCTTTCCACCCGTGCGATTGTCAAGCACTATCTTCTGCTGCTGTGCGCCCAAATTTCAATATCACTGCGCCTTGGTACTTTGGTCCAAAGTGGGACGTCGCACTCCTTGACAACAAAGCTGTTACTATGGTCTTCCTCCGCCACGTAGTCGAAATGTTCAGTAGTCTAAATTGCACAGTGAAACTGTTCCGTTTTCGTTTATATAACCGATATATTATACGGCGTTGTTTATCGACTGTAAATTTCAATTTTTGGGTTATTCTTTTCAAAAGCCATAGCATAGAACGGTGGCTTTCAGGTTTGAATGGACGGTCCGGAGAGTTTATATATAGAAGTCTGATGGCACTCGTCAGCTGACCTAGGAAATGTCTTTTGATTGGTTTTCAGCCACCTGCAATGCGTCAGGGAGTCCTCGAAGAGAACAGTTCTTAAAGAGACAGACACAGGAAACTGACTAGTGCATATAGTGCTGCAGATGCAACACTGGCAGCATGTTAGAGAAAGTCTGCTGTTGTAATTACGTCTTTTTTATGGTCAATACATTGATTTTGAATATGTTGTTTAGAGAAATAAAGTGTTTAACTCCAACGCCCTTAGGTTAGAAGCGACCATGGCGCATTGCCTAAAAGTAGAGGTTCTTGGTCAGGTTTGTGGTCCCAAATGAGTAATTGACCTAGAAAAGTTTGAGTTGTAAAAAGGTAGAGGACACAGAGGAAACTCATTCATCAGAAAGGTTTAAAATATATATTTTTTTTACTTCCTTTTAGATCTAAACTGTACGGTTTTGTTTCTTGTGATGATTAGGTCCGTTCTTGCAGACATCATACACACTTGATACAATTTCCCTCATCACTCTTAGGCACTGAGCCGATCTCAGTAGGGGTTCATAAATCTGTAATGAGTTAAAATAGCCAGGTGAGACTGAGCTCTCCATATGCATAATGAATAGCTCTAAATAAAGAAGTCATCAGTAGAGACACCTGATATCATGCTATGCTGGAGACAATGAGAGGTGCTCCATTTTATGGCGGTAGATTTTAATAATTCAGCCATGTCTCCGTTACATCTCATTATGCTGGCAACACTTATGAAAATAGACGAGGGAACCCCACCTGAATAAATACAATGACAAAAACAAAGATGAACTGCTCCACTTAATTTATTGTCAACATCTTTTTCCCCATTACATATAAGTAACAGCCATTGAAGTTTTGAACATTTTTTGTGTTTTTAAAATTGAACTATTAAAAAAAAAAAAAAAAAAAAACAAGGTTCAAAATAAAAACAATTTTCTCTTCCTATAGAATGTATTCCAAGTAACAGCATAAAATAAAACTACCAACTTAAAAGTTCAGTTTAGTAGTCATGTAGTGCATGTGATGCATGTAACGGAACAATGTGATGATATATGCCAGTGTTTTTGTACTAAAGGATTAATAGTGCAACAGAACGGCCAAACAAACACTTGTAAAATCAACATCCTCACACTAACTGAGAGTTTACAATGTCTTCAGGGAGTGTAAGGGAACTTCAGCATTATACCCTGTTCTGGCTTCACCTCTAGTTGTGCAAGGTTAAGCACTTCATCAACTTGTTTACCATCACTAGTACTGAACACTACTGTAGCATGTTCAGGAATCTCAGCATGCTTTAGCTGAAGAGTGACAGTTTCTTCCGAGTGCCAGTTGAGTGCAATAAGGTAGCGCTCATTCTGGTCCCAGCTTCGCACATAGGCCATGGCGGAGGTAGAGTTGAACAAAGGCAAGTATTCTCCGTGCTGCAAAGAGCGCTCTTTTGACCTTTTTTCACTCACAGATTTGAAGAATTTACGGAAAGTGGTCGTTTCATCCATCTTGCTCTGTAAAGGAAAACATGAAAATGTAACCAAAGCTGCTAGTCACAACATTGAATAGGGTCACTTTGGAGATTCAGCACTGTGTGCATATGCTCCTTACCACTGTCAGATTTTCTTGAGAGTCTTCCCATACCATGGTCGGGTTTTTGGTCACCTAAATGGAAGGATAACAACATTTTAGGATCTGCTCTTGGAAAACACCTGGATCGGTGTGAATTCTCTTGATAAAAACCTTAAGTTCACACACCTCATCTTGCAGTCCAATCTCATCCCCATAATTAAACACTGGTGTGCCTGGCAGAGTGAGCAGCAGCAGGTAACTCAACTTGACTTTGGTAAACCCCACCAGTGAAGCCAGGTGTCCAGCAATACGCCCACCTATGTTCCAAGCCAGTCTGGTCTGACCGTAAGTGGAATACAAGCGATCAACAGTATGGGCAACGTCCAGAGCAGATGTGGATCTTAAAGCATCAGTGAGGAGCAGGTCCACACCAGTTTTGTTCAACACAGCAATGACATCATCAGGAGAGGTCTGTTCCGTAACACCAATCAAGACCCTGGAAGGAAAAAAGTCAGTAAGTAAAAGTCAGTGTTTAATACAAGTATTGATATAATTAATATAAGCACCATATGGAGCTGTTTGGTTGGCAACACGATCTCAAACAAAGAAATGGCCCACTAGTGTCCCCTTGACTGGAGTTCAGTTTGTAAAAGTTGCTCCAACCACCACAAGGTGGCTCCTTTACCTCGCAAAAGAGTGAACGAGTCTGCTAATGAAATTTAGGAGTAAAAGTTCAACTATTGATTGCTCACTTTTTCTTTTTTTCCACTGATTCCGTCTGGTTGTGGATAAGGACTTCAACATCCTCCCAAAGGGACGGGGCTGCAGTGGAAGCCTTCTCGACACCGTAGAAGAGGAATCCATCTACACCTTCTCCTAGCCAATGCATCAGAGCAGACTGCAAACACAAAAGTCACAATTATTACTCTGAAAACACAAGTGCACAAATCAAGTTCAAGTGACAACGTAGATTAAGAAAGTTAAGAAATTATCCAGATCTATTGTTCACAGTCAAGGTCATACCTCAAGTTTGACCACAGTGCTGACAGCATCAGCAAACCAGGGCTCTTTGCCTTTATAGTTAGGGGTCAGGTCCAAAACAACAGAGATACCTAGAAGTGAACATAAAAATACATTTAAAAAAAAATAATGCTTGTATATAGTGCTGCACTGCTAGTGCTGCTTTTTTGTGGAGCTATCTATTGATAAAAAGAAACGGCAATTATTTGATTATACACTGCCTGGATCATTGGATCATTATTGCAGTGATTAATACATTTCTGATATATGTTTTGCAACATTTTGCTTATTTAAATCCAGACAGTGAATCAGACCTGCTTTAGTTAAACTACCAGTCCTTTTAGTAAAAAAAACAAACAAAGATAACTTAAGTAGAAAATGCTTCATTTTATAGTGCAAACTATAGCTCACCTCTCTTGTGTGCAGCCTTAATGAGTTCTTGAAACTGTATCAGATTACCAGCCTCTTTAGAAATCTCAGTCAATTTCAGTTCCTCAGGCTCATCGGCACTGGACACATGGATCGGGCCAATGATCAGACCCTTCACCTTCAACTCATCCATCGCCTGAACCTTTTCAGCCAAACCTGAGGGGTAACCAGTCAGAGTGAAATAAATACGCAATATTGCAAAATATTAAAGACAAAAAGAAAATAAATGTGGAATGTTTCGGATCATGGACCACATCCATGTTAATATGTACTTCATTGTACCTCACATTATTTTTTTTAAATATATGCATTACAAGACATTCTGCCACCCTTCCTTTAAAATCAATATGATATTCCTTTAATATAGTCCGCAGACTGATATATGAGCGGAGCAAACAGAATGGCATCCAAGTGGATAAGGGAGGAAACCAGATTTGTCGAATCAGCAGCATAAGGACAGAACAATTAATGTGTTTGAACATGTTTAAAGCCTGACATCCACCTTTAATCCCTAAACTAACCCATCCCTGCAATCCATTAACACTCCCTCCTTCCCATAAGATCTATTTTGGTTGCTTGGATGTTGGTCCATTGAGTCATCTGTCTTTACCTTTCAGATCTGAAGACTTTGTAAAGGAGTTCACATCTCCAATCTGGTACAGTGGTCCATAGTTCCACCAGTTCATCTCAGGGAGGGGCTTGCATCGAGGCGCTTGAATAATGATGGCAATCGCACCAGCTAGCATGCCCAGCCAACCAAGCCAGAACAGGATAAGAAGTGCCCAACGAACCTTAACCCACCTATTCAAGAAAAGAAAAAAAAAAAAAACACCAGGGATTAGAGGTAGAACATTAGTACCTACAAACTGCAAAATCCACACCAAGATCTAACTGAAAGAAAATAAGGTTTCACCACAGGTGCGTTCCGTACCCTGGTGTTCCAGCTACTTTCATGAGTTCTTCTTTGGATAACCCAGTGAATTTGCTCTCCTCATCTGGAATCTTCACCTTTACAATGCCATTCTTCTCGGATGCAGGCGAGATAGCATAATTATTTCCAGCTTTCCCCTCGGTCATGGGCTGCTTCTCCTGCTCCACCTCATTGAGCTCCACATCTTTCATATCCACTTCAGAATCGTTGCTCATTTTGTCAGTTTATGTCAACAGTCCTGAAAACAAAAGGAACTAGATTAGCTGCAAGCACATAACTATCAGCACGGCACCAGATTTCTTTTTTTTTTTTTCTTTTTTTTTTATTAATGCTCAATAACATAACATTGTCAAGGAATTACATACAAATACATATAATAAAACAAAGAGAGAGAGAGAAAAAGAAAAAAAAAGGATTATACAAAAAACAATGAAAAACAAGATGACAAGACAAGGAGACACAAGAATGCATACATTACCACTATTGATACAACATACAAACATTAATATACTGGGAAAGCTTTTAAATGCATGCATTTTCTTTAAACATTTCTTCATAATATTTTATAAATCTTAAGGGATTTTTTGTTATTTATTTAATAGATTTAAGAAGTGATAATTCAGTTTTAAAATGGGGATAGGATGGAATATTATTTGCAAACTTTTGTTTAGGAATAAAGAATTTGCCATATAAAATAAAGAAATTAACAATGTATTCTAGGGGTCTATTTTTATTATCAATATAATAAAAAAATTATGTCTTTTAGACTGAAAGAATAAGTAACATTGGCAGAATCGAATATATAGGAGCCAACGTCACACCAAAATTGGGCAGGGCACCAGAATTTTTTTTTTTTTTGATTTCCAACATATCATATAAAGGTACTGAACAAATATAAACTACAAAAAAGATATAGAACAGACATTTTAGTCCGGATGGTATAGCATCAAACACTATACAATATTCTTTAGGGATTATTGGAATATTATACCTTAGAAGAAATTCTATGTAGGTATACAGGTGCCCATTTTCATTAAATAACTGT